TGACGTTGGTAGTACTGTAGATACTGACGTTGATAGTACTGTAGATAATGACGTTGGTAGTACTGTAGATAATGACGTTGATAGTACTGTAGATACTGACGTTGGTAGTACTGTAGATATTGACGTTGGTAGTACTGTAGATACTGACGTTGATAGTACTGTAGATAATGACGTTGATAGTACTGTAGACACTGACGTTAATGGTACTGTAGATAATGACGTTGGTAGTACTGTAGATAATGACGTTGGTAGGACTGTAGATAATGACGTTGGTAGTACTGTATATAATGACGTTGGTAGTAAGATAATGACGTTGGTAGTACTGTAGATACTGACGTTGATAGTACTGTAGATACTGACGTTGGAAGTACTGTAGATATTGACGTTGGTAGTACTGTAGATAATGACGTTTGTAGTACTGTAGATAATGACGTTGATAGTACTGTAGACACTGACGTTAATGGTACTGTAGATACTGACGTTGGTAGTACTGTAGATAATGACGTTTGTAGTACTGTAGATCATGACGTTGGTAGTACTATAGATACTGACGTTGATAGTACTGTAGATAATGACTTTGATAGTACTGTAGACACTGACGTTAATGGTACTGTAGATACTGACGTTGGTAGTACTGTAGATACTTACGTTGGTAGTACTGTAGATAATGACGTTGGTCGTACTGTAGATAATGACGTTGATAGTACTGTAGACACTGACGTTGGTAGTACTGTAGATACTGACGTTGGTAGAACTGTACATAATGACTTTGATAGTAATGTAGATACTGACGTTGGTAGTACTGTAGATACTTACGTTGGTAGTACTGTAGATAATGACGTTGGTAGTATTGTAGATAATGACGTAGGATAGTACTGTAAATAATGACGTTGGTAGTACTGTAGATAATGATGTTGGTAGTATTGTAGATAATGACGTTGGTAGTACTGTAGATAGTGACGTTGGTAGTACTGTAGATAATGACGTTGGTATTACTGTAGATAATGACGTTGGTAGTACTGTAGAGACGTTGGTATTACTGTAGATAATGACGTTGGTAGTACTGTAGCAATGACGTTGATAGTACTGTAGATAATGACGTTGGTAGAACTGTACATAATGACTTTGATAGTAATGTAGATACTGACGTTGGTAGTACTGTAGATACTTACGTTGGTAGTACTGTAGATAATGACGTTGGTCGTACTGTATATAATGACGTTGGTAGTACTGTAGATAATGACGTTGGTAGGACTGTAGATAATGACGTTGGTAGTACTGTATATAATGACGTTGGTAGTAAGATAATGACGTTGGTAGTACTGTAGATACTGACGGTGGTAGTACTGTAGATAATGACGTTGATAGTTCTGTAGATAATGACGTTGGTAGTACTGTAGAGACGTTGGTATTACTGTAGATAATGACGTTGATAGTACTGTAGATAATGACTTTGATAGTACTGTAGACACTGACGTTAATGGTACTGTAGATAATAACGTTGGTAGTACTGTAGATAATGACGTTGGTATTACTGTAGATAATGACGTTGATAGTACTGTAGACACTGACGTTAATGGTACTGTAGATACTGACGTTGGTAGTACTGTAGATAATGACGTTCGTAGTACTGTAGATATTGACGTTGGTAGTACTGTAGATAATGACGTTGATAGTACTGTAGATAATGACGTTGGTAGAACTGTACATAATGACTTTGATAGTAATGTAGATACTGACGTTGGTAGTACTGTAGATTCTGACGTTGGTAGTACTGTAGATAATGACGTTCGTAGTACTGTAGATATTGACGTTGGTAGTACTGTAGATAATGACGTTGATAGTTCTGTAGATAATGACGTTGGTAGTACTGTCGATACTGACGTTGGTAGTACTGTAGATACTGACGTTGGTAGAACTGTACATAATGACTTTGATAGTAATGTAGATACTGACGTTGGTAGTACTGTAGATACTTACGTTGGTAGTACTGTAGATAATGACGTTGGTCGTACTGTAGATAATGACGTTGATAGTACTGTAGATACTGACGTTAATGGTACTGTAGATAATGACGTTGGTAGAACTGTACATAATGACTTTGATAGTAATGTAGATACTGACGTTGGTAGTACTGTAGATAATGACGTTGGTCGTACTGTATATAATGACGTTGGTAGTACTGTAGATAATGACGTTGATAGTACTGTAGACACTGACGTTAATGGTACTGTAGATACTGACGTTGGTAGTACTGTAGATACTTACGTTGGTAGTACTGTAGATAATGACGTTGGTATTACTGTAGATAATGACGTTGATAGTACTGTAGATAATGACGTTGGTAGAACTGTACATAATGACTTTGATAGTAATGTAGATACTGACGTTGGTAGTACTGTAGATACTTACGTTGGTAGTACTGTAGATAATGACGTTGGTCGTACTGTATATAATGACGTTGGTAGTACTGTAGAGATAATGACGTTGGTAGTACTGTAGATAATGACGTTGGTAGTACTGTATATAATGACGTTGGTAGTACTGTAGAGATAATGACGTTGGTAGTACTGTAGATAATGACGTTGGTAGTACTGTAGATACTGACGTTGATAGTAATGTAGATCCTGACGTTGATAGTACTGTAGATACTGACGTTGATAGTACTGTAGATACTGACGTTGATAGTACTGTAGATAATGACGTTGGTAGTACTGTAGATAATGACGTTGGTAGTACTGTAGATAATGACGTTGGTAGTACTGTAGATAATGACGTTGGTAGTACTGTAGCAATGACGTTGATAGTACTGTAGATAATGACGTTGGATAGTACTGTAGATAATGACGTTGGTAGTACTGTAGATAATGACGTTGATAGTACTGTATATAATGACGTTGGTATTACTGTAGAAAATGCCGTTGGAAGACCGGAGGAAAATGCCGTTGGTAGTACTGTAGCAAGGACGTTGATAGTACTATAGATACTGACGTTGATAGTACTGCAGATAATGACGTTGGTACTACTGTAGATAATGATGTTGGTAGTACTGTAGCAATGACGTTGATAGGACTGTAGATAATGACATTTGTAGTTCTGTAGATAATGACGGTGGATAGTACTGTAGATATTGACATTGGTAGTACTGTAGATCCTGACGTTGGTAGTACAGTAGATACTGACGTTGATGGTACTGTAGATACTGAAGTTGGTAGTACTGTAGATTCTGACATTGGTAAGTACCAAGTGTAGATAATGACGTCGGTAGTACTGTAGATAATGACGTTGGTAGTACTGTAGATAATGACATTGGTAGTACTGTAGATACTGACATTGGTAAGTACCAAGTACAGCGCAAGTACTTCCAACTCTAGTCTCATTTGTAGTCTCGCATGAATGATTAGATCATATCAACCCGAAAAATAAAACATGATACTATGAATTAGTTTAATAGCAATACAAGATTTAGTTACTATCTATTCTTACGTAAAAAATGTTGTAAACAGAACGAGTGAAGCATTTAATTGTTCACGGAACCGGACAGAACTGTGAGAGTGTGGTCTTTAATGATATAGAGAGTTGTCTCGAGGTCTCCGTGATGAACACACAACAAGACAGAAGAGAAATGCTACATCATGTCAGAAGCACGCTCTCAACAACTAAATGTGGAACTCGCTTTGACTGTCTGTGAATTGCACTAACACCCCCTGGTCAATCTGTATAATAGACGTGAACTAGAAGGGTTAACTAGCGTGAAATGGATTTATACCTAAGTGATGTGTAGCCATATACTTATGACAAACAAGCCACAGGGGTAAAAATAAATGTTTGCAGTAGTTACTTAAGACAAATATTTTACAGTTAATAATCTAATTCCGGGCGTTACTGAATGGGAACGTGCTGTTATTAACACTCCCAGTATATGTGTCCTTCTGCCCAATTACATTCTGTTTTCAGCTCCGTAAAATTTTCTATTTACACCTACCAAACAGGATGTGACTTGCCATATGTTGGTTACGTTCCCGTTCTTGTTTTGCAGCTATTCGTGGAACAATGTTGCGGAGTGTCGGTTTGACCGTGGTCCTGGCCATAGTGGTACAACACGTCGTGCGTTTCTGGTAAGACTACATACAAAACGCCACTGGTCAGGCTAGCGTGGTTGTTAGAGGGGTGTCACATATTACAGGCTGCTTTAGCCGAGTTGTTAATATCATGAAATAAAATCGTGTGTATATTATAAACATCACTTACGGATTAGGAGGATATAAATGCTATACTGCATTGGAGGATAGGGGGTACTCGTTGAACGATGGTTGATCTTAATACATATTCAATAAAACGAGTTTATTCAGAAGTCAATTAGAAAGTAAGTCGTGTTCGGGTAGTCGGTTGATTCCGTAGGGCAAATCAGAGGGATAAGTTGATACTACTTGTTTCACAGTTATTCTAATACTAGTTAACTGCTTTCGTAACCAATTTTTACCTGATGGATATCTGGCTTTTCACATTCAAAATCTTCGCTGTAGCAAACGCATAGTCGAAATATTTTGTGAAGTTATGATCTGTGAGGTTAACTTACAAATCAATATAAAAATAAAACCTCCGTTTAGTGTATTGAACCTTTTAGCAGCGGTATTATAAATAACTGTTTGTTATGGTGTCATACTGACACGAGCCGTTATTATATTGATGAGGTTTTTGTCTTTGATCAACGAGAATTGCGATAAGTAGTTGCGTACCATGTTTCCTCCAGAACTTAGAATTTACTACAATCTCGCAGACTTCAAATATAGTTGTCATAACAATAATGGTCACCTTATACTACAAAACACAATACTACTTCAGTTGCACGGTCGTTAACTTTCCTTTTTCTTATTTCATGTATAGATATTCCAATCTCGCCTATTTATAGAGTTTCTGGATAGATTTGTCCGTTCATTAAATAATAACGTATCCAAGGTTTTCTACCTGAGAAATCATCGTGTCTCCTCTGACAGTTTGATCCCCCTCTCTATACATTTGTCTGTATCATATATGTTAAACAATTATATTTTATTTCATGATAAGAATGATACTTCTCTCATATTTTATTTTGTTTGTTTTTGTTTTTGTTTCGCTGTTGATCTTCATGTATCTGTTTCATATATGATAAAATCATTATATTTTAAATGCATTTTTATATATCCCTGAAGGTAGGACATATGACTTATATTCTGTTTCAAGGTAGTTTTATAAACTTGAAGGTAGGATACTCATATCATATTTCCACGATTAGCATTGACTGGTAAGACATATTACACATATTGTATTTGAAGGTTTTTTATGGACTACCACAAAGCCGGGACAATAATCCACCATCGACCCGGCCCGTGTAGACCCTTGGCCGGTGCAGGTCTGTGTGTGAATCACATAACAAACTAACCATTAAATTCATTTTTGTATGTAAACATCACTTTTTGTTGTGATAGTTCATTAATGTGAGTCAGATGATTAAATGAAAATGAACAAATACCAAGTATTTTAACTGATTTCAGCTCTTTGACCGAAAATCCTAAAATAATATCACGATGTAGTTACTTCTGATTTATCATTGATGCCGTGTTTTACTACCTTAAACTGTCAGTACAAATACCGGCCACAGAAATTGTTTATATACGTTACAACATCGTATAAACTTAAACGGCTCTGTATTACAGAAAGTAAAATCTCTTCACATAATACGCATATATTATATAATACATTTGCCTTGTGCCATATCCTAACAGTGTAACTTTTGAGTTAGACTCCTTCAATACATTGTATAAACTTTGTTACAGATGGCGGCTCGGAAGATCTCACAGTGTTAGACAATGGGTTGACGTTCATCTCCTCGGTACGTATACTATATTTAGTTTGAAGGTTTGGTTTTGGTATTATTTCGTTGAACGTCCTATTAATAACGCTTGTTTCTATGTGTGTTATGTTATGTATGCTTGCTTATTTGTATGTGTGCTGGAGACAGGGTATGTTGGTGTATTTGTACCCAGCACAGTACTCCACCCGCTGATGTGTAGTTATATAGGGTTTCACACTACCAGACATTGTGTCTGAATGTTTATACTCACTTTGATTCTGATTCTAATGAACACTAGTTGTTTACTACAATACTGGCAAGAGGTTACTGGTCAAGGATATTTTGTTTTTCATTTCAGGGTTATTTCCCCTGGACCCGAGGCCGAATTCTCCTCTTTGATTTTAGCGATCCATTACACGAGGTGAAGGAGCTACCTATTGTCAGTTCCACTCTGAATCAGTCTGATTTCAATGTCCATGGACTGTCGGTGTGGCAGGACAATATTACCGGTGAGTCAATCCCAACACGACCGAGTTATCTACCCCTGTACTGCCTGTATTGCAGGACAATACAACGGGCCAGTTTACAACAACACGAGTTATCTAACCTGTACTGCCTGTATGTCAGGGTAATATAACTGGTAAATTTATAACAACACGAGTTATCTTCCTCTGGGCTTCCTGTATGGCAGTCAATATTACCAGTGAGTCAATCCCAACATGAGTTGTCTACCCCTGGAGTGTCTGTTTATTCAAACACGAGTCATCTAACCCTGACCAGTCTGTATCGCGGGGAAATATTACAAGTGGAGGTTTAATAGCTAGTACGAGATATGACCCTTTTATTGTCTTAAGTGTGAGTTTGTATAACGTGAAATTATCACATCACAAGTAAGTTTCTCCTGGAAGGTCGATAAGGGAAGCAGTATAAATGATAGGATATCACAAGAAGAGTAGTCTTTTTTGACAGCCTTGTAAGCACAGTATTTCGGTCGTTGCATTACAGTTATCTCCCCATGGTACTAAATACCAACAACTAGATATGTAACAATGTAGACGAACACTAATACTCTTTCAGGTGAAGTTACTCTGATGGTGATAAACCATGCCGGCCCCGGAGATGTTGTGGAAGTGTTCACGTTTCAGGAGGACTCCCGGTCACTGCTTCATATCAAGACAATCACGTGCCCGAAACGAACAAAGTAAGTCTGTGACTAGCGTGTGTCCCGAACAGTTAGCTGATTATCACCGCAAACGTTATCTAAACGTAATACGTGTCTCTTGTTAAGATATCTTAACTGTAAGTATGAATATTGAAGAATCCTAAACTCCGCGTACAAGAGTTATAATTCATTAAACAATTTCTGAGCGTGGCTGATTCTTTAGGGAATCGTCGATAAATAGAATAAGTTCATCAGTTCTATCCGTCAAGTCCCATTATTTTCTTAAAAATCCTACAATCAATGTTGTGTAGCAGCACTAGGCCAACTTTGATAGTGTATATCAAAGTGTGTTCCTTTTATTATAGAGGGGTGAGCCCAATAGGGGAAATACAGGTAAATAGTAAATAAACTAGGGCAAAATATGAATAAAAATAAGAGAGATTTAAATGGAGGCCGTTAAAAACGTACAAGGAGAATGAGCATTTTATTTTTTTATTTTTTATATTTTTTTATAATTTTATTTTTTGAAACATTTTCATCATTACAGAATAATTACAATATTAATTTTCACAATGAGCAGTTTAAAAGGCACAATTGAGTGACGTATTTAATTTTGATGACCTGAAAATCCAGTCGATACTGAATATATACATCTCCTAACGAAAGTTTACGTAGTTGATAATGACATGACCTGAAGCCAACGTCCAGTGTGGTCAGTTTCATCTTTTGGGAAAGCCGGTGATATATAAGTCTGTGTTCACACATAACTCGTTCTTGAATTTACACAATACATCCCAAGTAAGAATTATAAATATCATAATATATACCTCTAATCAGATGTTTCTGTTCACATTTGCATTTGAGTAAGAACTCAATTAGAGCATGCATTTTTTATGCTGTTGGAAGCTGATTTTGATTCAAAATAGATACATAAACTTGTATTCAGAGGGGCTAGGCGGAAAAGCGAGAGGTTACCTTCTCTTCTCGGCTGGAAAGACACTTTTGTTGGCCAGAAATTTCACGACAGCTGCCGCTAAAACGTACGGCTTTACAGTTAAGGATTTCTCCATTACTGATTAAAAACGCTAAGAAAACATTGTCTCTTGTCAATTTCTCGACATGAATTGTTCATAGGGGGTACCAAATTATATAATTATGAAGAGTTATGTGACAAGGTTATAAAAAAAACTAACTTCACTAGATTGTCCTTTTAAAAACGTACAAGGAGAATGAGACCGTTTGTTTGGGAAGGGTTAGCGTCTTCTGCTTAATCGACGACAATTACCATGTACAACTTGGTTAACCCACGTAACATCACCTGGTCAAGGTCGAAACCGTGCTAGTGACAGGAGGGATCGTTCATCACTGATGAAGGAAATGTATCAAAACTGAATCATAACTGGACCCAGGGGATTCAACGTTAAGAAAACGAGGAATGCAGCCCTTTAGGGACGGAGGAACGGGCTCATTTGTCGAATTAGATACAAGGATAGTAAACAATATTTGGTCTTAACACACTTAAATGAAGGAAACTAAAGTTTAGAAAAAAATGTTTCGCTCTCCAAACAGCAAAAAAAAAAAAAAAAAGTCATCAAATATTCATCAAAACTTTTGTTATGGATAATTATGGAAAGTCTGCGTGGAACAATTAAGAAACAATTAGGTACAATGTAATACACCAATTGTTTCAAATATGGATATCATTATTCTGGTTGTGTTTTGAACTCTCGAATGCGTACATGTACTACGCTGTAACTACGTCTAGTGACAAAGGCGGATGTAGGGACCACCTGTATTAATGGGTGTGTCGGTCGGTCTGTGTATGATTGTGTATTGAACAATTGGATATTTAAGGATTAACTTGAATATATTTTTCATGTTATGATGAGAGTACACTCCGGTTTTTTGTGTTATTGCTCCATAACATGAAAACTATATTCAAGTTAATCCTTAAAATTTAATCAACTATACACAATCCCTGTGGAAATCCACTTGTATTGATGGACTCTTTTCTCTTAGAAAGTTTTGCGCTGCTGTATCAGCCAATCAAAAGCGACGTTACAAATGGCGACGTCATTTTCCATGTTATGGGCTGAAAACATAAATTTTTAAGCCAATGAAAATGCTTGTTACAAGGAAGATTAAATTATTACCAAATAACATTAGACGATACATTTTTTTTTGATTGGAAAATACTCAATTAACATTCAAAATATGCCAACAGTTACCAAAATTAATACCTGGACTTTTATCCTACTAGTAATCTGCGTGTTATTTTGTTTTTGTTCCAAGTATGAATGATTTGGTGTTGACCAGCAACAGGACTTTTTACATCACTAAGATAACCACACTGCGTGACTACCCAATGGTGGAGCTGCTACTGATGCTGAAGTACGGCGAGGTTCTGTACTACGACGGCAGTGACTTCCGTAGTGTGGCGGGTAGACTCAACCTGCCCAACGGCATTAACGTGTCACCTGACCACAGGTCAGTACCATATTACAGCACATATGTCTTTAAAGCTGTTCATATTAAGGTCAGTAATAAAGTTCAGTAGCGGAGGTCGGAAGTGGAGGTCAGTAGTAGAGGTCAGTATTGGAGGTCAGGAGTGAAGGTCAGTAGTGGAGGTAAGAATTGGAGGTCAGGAGTGGAGGTCAGTAGTGGAGGTCAGTAGTCAAGGTCAGTAGCAGAGGTCAGTATTAGAGGTCAGTATTGGAGGTCAGTAGTGAAGGTCAGTATTGGTGGTCAGTATTAAAGGCAGGAGTGAAGGTCAGTAGTGGAGGTCAGTATTTGCGGTCAGGAGTGAAGGTCAGTGGTGGAGGTCAGTATTGGAGGTCAGTATTGGGGGTCAGTAGTGAAGGTCAGTATTGGAAGTCAGTAGTGGAGGTCAATATTTGAGGTAAGGAGCGAAGGTCAGTAGTGGAGGTCAAGAGTAAAGGTCAGTATTGGAGGGCAGGAGTTACTTCATTACTTCATTAATTCAATATCAATTTCTGGAAGATCAATAAAATGTAAAATTAATTTATCATCTAAATTCGTGCTATTAAACGACAATCATCATTAGTTCAACTGAATGTGAAATAAAAGAGAACTTCAAAGAGAATGACATTTAAAGTATACTTGTTTTTTTAGAATTTTTAGGCATAGAAAGCATCTCTCAAGGAACATGTATACATGTCTAATTAGCTTGTTCTCATTTTGTATTTACACAACACATCTATCTGTGGGTTCCTAAGAGTGATAGTATGTTATCAGGGTTTACATATGTACAGTATAAATACTGACGGGTTGTTATATAATATGTATCATCACCTCTGTTTATGATAACACATTGTAGCCAATAAAACAACAATTAAACAGTCTGCCTCTTTGTCCTTGTGACATCTAATTGTAAACATTAATACAAGAGGCAAAAGACACGATTTTAAACAATCAACTTGTAAAGGAACAAACTGCTTCAAGACCAAACCCCTTCCAACATACCAGCTGATATGACCAAACTCCTTCCAACATACCAGATGATATGACCAAGCTCGTTCCAACATACCAGCTGATATGACCAAACTCCTTCCAACATACCAGCTGATATGACCAAGCTCGTTCCAACATACCAGCTGATATGACCAAGCTCCTTCCAACATACCAGCTGATATGACCAAGCTCCTTCCAACATACCACCTGATAAGACCAAGCTCCTTCCAACATACAAACTGATATGACCAAGCTCCTTCCAACATACCAGCTGATATGACCAAGCTCCTTCCAACATACCACCTGATAAGACCAAGCTCCTTCCAACATACCAGCTGATATGTAGGCACGGGACATTGACAAACAACACACGACGGACATTTATAGACTATATGATGCTAAAGGATGGACACTGTTTTAGAATATTAAATTGATTCGTAAATGCTTCCAATTTAGCTTAATCGGCAGCACAAAGCCTAACATTGTTACTTACATTATATGTATTTCTATAATGTGGGACACAAGCACAGTTTGGTCCACTTGTTTATTATTTCTCATTTGTTTAAAGCAGCCAATGACTAGAGTCCCAAAAAACATTATTTGAAAAATGTGCAATGTAGACTGTCCCTATCGAGCTGAAATCACCAGATACGGCATTTTCTAATCACCCTTCCTGGAAGTGATGGAGTTGTGTTACCAAAGGTTGTCTTGTTGTAGGTATATGTACGTGGCAGAAATGGAGAGTAAGCTACTAAAATCCTATCGAATCGTAGACTATGGACTACACTTCGTGGAGGTAAGATTGTCGTGTTGTTTATATGTCGTGTTGTTACGTTGTGATCGTATCATAAACATGCATCGGGGCTGGACCCTTTTAGACGTAAACTTATAACGTTAAAACAAGGATAGTAGCTGGACCTTTTGTAGACGTAAACTTATAATGTTAAAACAAGGATAGTAGCTGGAACCTTTTTAGACGTAAACTTATAATGTTAAAAATACGGATAGTAGCTGGACCCTTTTAAGACGTAAAATTATAACGTTAAACCAAGGATAGTAGCTGGACCCTTTTTAGACGTAAACTTATAATGTTAAAACAAGGATAGCAGCTGGACCCTTTTTAGACGTAAACCTATAATGTTAAAACACGGATAGTAGCTGGACCCTTTTTAGACGTAAACTTATAATGTTAAAACAAGGATAGTAGCTGGACCCTTTTTATAATGTTAAAACAAGGATAGTAGCTGGACCCTTTTTAGATGTAAACTTATAATGTTAAAAATACGGATAGTAGCTGAACCCTTTGTAGACGTAAACTTATAACGTTAAAACAAGAATAGTAGCTGGACCCTTTTTGAGACGTAAACTTATAATGTTAAAACAAGGATAGTAGCTGGACCCTTTGTATACGTAAACTTATAATGTTAAAAATACGGATAGTAGCTGAACCCTTTGTAAACGTAAACTTATAATGTTAAAACAAGGATAGTAGCTGGACCATTTTTATAATGTTAAAACAAGGATAGTAGCTGGACCCTTTTTATAATGTTAAAACAAGGATAGTAGCTGGACCCTTTTAGACGTAAACTTAAAATGTTAAAAATACGGATAGTAGCTGGACCCTTTGTAGACGTAAACTTATAATGTTAAAAATACGGATAGTAGCTGAACCCTTTATAGACGTAAACTTATAACGTTAAAACAAGAATAGTAGCTGGACCCTTTTTGAGACGTAAACCTATAATGTTAAAACAAGGATAGTAGCTGGACCCTTTGTATACATAAACTTATAATGTTAAAAATACGGATAGTAGCTGGACCCTTTTGGACGTAAACTTATAATGTGAAAAAAATGGATCGAAGCTAGAACCTTTTTAGATGTAAACTTATAACGTTAAAACAAGGATAGTAGCTGGACCCTTTTAGACGTAGACTTATAATGTGAAAAAAATGGATCGAAGCTAGAACCTTTTTAGATGTAAACTTATAACGTTAAAACAAGGATAGTAGCTGGACCCTTTTAGACGTAAACTTAAAATGTTAAAAATACGGATAGTAGCTGGACCCTTTTTAGACGTAATCGTATAACGTTAAAAATACGGATAGTAGCTGAACCCTTTGTAAACGCAAACTTATAATGTTAAAACAAGGATAGTAGCTGGACCATTTTTATAATGTTAAAACAAGGATAGTAGCTGGACCCTTTTAGACGTAAACTTATATAGACGTAAACTTATAATGTGAAAACAATGGATCGAAGCTAGAACCTTTTTAGACGTAAACTTATAACGTTAAAACAAGGAAAGTAGCTGGACCCTTTTAGACGTAAACTTATAACGTTAAAAATACGGATAGTAGCTGGACCCTTTTTAGACGTAAACATATAACGTTAAAAATACGGATAGTAGCTGGACCCTCGTAAACTTGTAATGTTAAAAATACGGATAGTAGCTGGACCCTTTTAGACGCAAACTTATAATGTTAAAATAAGGATAGTAGCTGGACCCTTTTTAGACGTAAACTTTTAACGTTAAAACAAGGATAGTAGCTGGACCCTTTGCATACGTAAACTTATAATGTTAAAGATACGGATAGTAGCTGGACCCTTTTAGACGTAAACTTATATAGACGTAAACTTATAATGTGAAAACAATGGATCGAAGCTAGAACCTTTTTAGACGTAAACTTATAACGTTAAAACAAGAATAGTAGCTGGACCCTTTTTGAGACGTAAACTTATAATGTTAAAACAAGGATAGCAGCTGGACCCTTTTTAGACGTAAACCTATAATGTTAAAACACGGATAGTAGCTGGACCCTTTTTAGACGTAAACTTTTAACGTTAAAACAAGGATAGTAGCTGGACCCTTTTAGACGTAAACTGTAAACTTATAATGTTAAAACAAGGATAGCAGCTGGACCCTTTTTAGACGTAAACCTATAATGTTAAAACACGGATAGTAGCTGGACCCTTTTTAGACGTAAACTTTTAACGTTAAAACAAGGATAGTAGCTGGACCCTTTGTATACGTAAACTTATAATGTTAAAGATACGGATAGTAGCTGGACCCTTTTAGACGTAAACTTATATAGACGTAAACTTATAATGTGAAAACAATGGATCGAAGCTAGAACCTTTTTAGACGTAAACTTATAACGTTAAAACAAGGATAGTAGCTGGACCCTTTTAGACGTAAACTTATATAGACGTAAACTTATAATGTGAAAACAATGGATCGAAGCTAGAACCTTTTTAGACGTAAACTTATAACGTTAAAACAAGAATAGTAGCTGGACCCTTTTTGAGACGTAAACCTATAATGTTAAAACAAGGATAGTAGCTGGACCCTTTTAGACGTAAACTGTAAACTTATAATGTTAAAACAAGGATAGCAGCTGGACCCTTTTTAGACGTAAACCTATAATGTTAAAACACGGATAGTAGCTGGACCCTTTTTAGACGTAAACCTATAATGTTAAAACACGGATAGTAGCTGGACCCTTTTTAGACGTAAACCTATAATGTTAAAACACGGATAGTAGCTGGACCCTTTTTAGACGTAAACCTATAATGTTAAAACACGGATAGTAGCTGGACCCTTTTTAGACGTAAACCTATAATGTTAAAACACGGATAGTAGCTGGACCCTTTTTAGACGTAAACATATAACGTTAAAAATACGGATAGTAGCTGGACCCTTTTTAGCCGTAAACTTATAACGTTAAAAATACGGATAGTAGCTACGGATAGTAGCTGGACCCTTTTAGACGTAAACTTATAATGTTAAAATAAGGATAGTAGCTGGACCCTTTTTAGACGTAAATATATAACGTTAAAAATACGGATAGTAGCTGGACCCTTTTTAGACGTAAACATATAACGTTAAAAATACGGATAGTAGCTGGACCCGTTTAGACGTAAGCTTATAACGGTAAAAGAAAAATAGTAGCTGGACCCTTTTAGACGTAAACGTATAACGTTAAAAATACGGATAGTAGCTGTACCCTTTTTAGACGTAAACTTATAACGTTTAAATACGGATAGTAGCTGGACCCTTTTAGACGTAAACTTATAACGTTAAAAATACGGATAGTAGCTGGACCCTTTTTAGACGTAAACTGATAACGTTTAAATACGGATAGTAGCTGGACCCTTTTAGACGTAAACTTATAACGTTAAAAATACGGATAGTAGCTGGACCCTTTTTAGACGTAAACTGATAACGTTTAAATACGGATAGTAGCTGGACCCTTTTAGACGTAAACTTATAACGTTAAAAATACGGATAGTAGCTGGACCCTTTTTAGACGTAAACATATAACGTTTAAATACGGATAGTAGCTGGACCCTTTTTAGACGTAAACTTATAACGTGAAAACAAGGATAGTAGCTGGACCCTTTTAGACGTAAACTTATAATGTTATAAATACGGATAGTAGCTGGACCCTTTTTAGACGTAAACAATATAACGTTAAAGATACGGATAGTAGCTGGACCCTTTTTAGACGTAAACTTATAACGTGAAAACAAGGATAGTAGCTGGACCCTTTTAGACGTAAACTTATAATGTTATAAATACGGATAGTAGCTGGACCCTTTTTAGACGTAAACAATATAACGTTAAAGATACGGATAGTAGCTGGACCCTTTTTAGACGTAAACTTATAACGTGAAAACAAGGATAGTAGCTGGACCCTTTTAGACGTAAACTTATAATGTTATAAATACGGATAGTAGCTGGACCCTTTTTAGACGTAAACAATATAACGTTAAAGATACGGATAGTAGCTGGACCCTTTAAGACGTCAACTTATAACGTTAAAAATATGGATCGTAGCTGGACCCTTTTAGACGTACATGTAAACTTATAATGTTAAAAATACGGATCGAAGCTAGAACCTTTTTAGACGTAAACTTATAACGTTAAAAATACGGATAGTAGCTGGACCCTTTTTAGACGTAAGCTTGTAATGTTAAAAATACGGATCGAAGCTAGAACCTTTTTAGACGTAAGCTTATCACGTTAAAACAAGGATAGTAGCTGGATCATTTTTAGACGTAAACTTATAACGTTAAAATACGGATCAGAGATGGACGTATTGGAGGCTAGCGTATGATATTATAAACACGGATCGGAGCTGGACCATTTTTGAACGTTAACTTATAATAATTTAATCTTGCTTGTAACAAGCATTTTCATTGGCTTAAAATTTTATGTTATCAGCCCATAACGTAAAAAAAGACGTCGTCGTTTGTAACGTCGCTTTTAATTGGCTGATACAGCAGCGCAATAATTTCTAAGAGAAAAGAGTCCATCAATAAAAGTGGATTTCCACAGGGATTGTGTATAGTAGATTAAATTAAAAGGATTAACTTGAATATATTTTTCAAGTGATGGAGCTAAAACACACAAAAAACGGAGTGTACTCTCATCATAAACCGCTTCCCGGTTTATTTAGAGTACACTCAGTTTTTTGTGTTATATCTCCATAACATGAAAAATATATTCAAGTTAATCCTTATATGTAAAATATACGACCTGCTGTTACAGTGACTGTCTTCATGTTTATACTATTTGACATTGAGGTATTTAATTCAGTTTGACGAAGTATTTGAATCGATATAACTAACCATCTCATCAAAAAGGAAAATTAAAGTAAAATAGGGTAATACCGTGGTTTTGCAGTACTATCAAAGCAAAGAGAAATTTATGTGTTTTGTGATATTACATGTATTAAAAGAAGGACAACTACGAGTTTTAGGGAGCTACTACATGTTAGACAACGATACATGTTTTTGGAATCAAATAGAAGATGAAGTGATTGAGTGTGTATTTTATGTTTTACTAGGACTTGCGTCTAGATACACTGGTGGACAACATAGAGGTAGACCCCGTGTCTGGTGATCTGTGGGTCGGGTGTCATCCAAGTTTCCATCGACTAATTCAGCTTAATGTTGCCGGATTACTGCTACCCTCACAAGTACACATTTTACCTTTCAATTTCTTTAACTAACATCACAAGTCTGACTTTGGCATAAGAAACCCGTGATATAAAATATATCACAGATATTGTTTTAAAGACACCGATATATCCATTACAAAGCAAAATTTAATATGTTTATGTGTCGGCATTCGCTCGCATTCTCTCTATGAAAAAAAAGAAAAATTTATCTGCACATCCTATCATGGCACTAATAATACATGATCAATCTTTGGTTAATTATATTTAAAAAACCTTAAGCGTCCTTGTACTTGTACTTTTTTATGTATTTAAAAAAGTTTTTTGACCAAACAATCAAATGTTACCACGACTATTTCTTCATTGCCACCTACATTGCTCCGGACAGCTAGTTCCTAAATCTCCCTATATACACGGCGGACGGGAAATATGGACTTGATGTTTCCTTTCAGTATCGGAAGTCCTACCAAGTGACACAAGGGGCTTCGTCTCGCTGGAATGACATACCTTGGTATCTCTGTTTCTCTCGCTTTGTTAGCTTCATCCTCGTATGACGACAGAGTGGGAACCTTGCTTATCCCAGTCTGCTGCTTTCTGGATTTCTGATCTATTTCCAGTTCATCTGTGGAGTACCAATGAATGGCAGGAAATCCCTGTGGACATATATTTGTATTCGTTACACACGCCCATCCCTGTTTGGAATATTCACCACCCGGTAGGAGTATCGCTCTTATCTTTCAACAAGTTTATGTCTTCCCTTGTTGCCAACTTGTTTAACCAAGAACACTATCCTGATCTCATTTAGGTATTTTCGTGTCCCAGTCCTTCCCTCTCAGCTTTCGTTGCAATGATCATATCAATAAATAACTCGCATAAAGCTATTTCTCTTGTTTGTGATCTCTCTGTGTTGGATACTCCAGATAAGCATTAGTAGGCAGTCGAGGAAACCGACCAAACATGAAACATTGGAGAAAATGTCCGGTGATGTTAGGACTAGTAACATTGTGGAAGCGGCAACATATGACGTCCTTTTCACTTCCCCCTCTTCATCGACATTTCCCAGCATCTCGATCAAGGTTTGATTGAATGGCTCGACCTGTGTATTCCCTATGTGGTGATGTGGTTGTGATATGACGTTGTCCTCGATTTCTTTACTCCTGCAATCTTCTTTAACTCTGAAAAGACCATCCTTGCACTGCTAGGCATTAACATTAAGTATAACTAAATTGACGGGGTCCTGCTACTTTCTCTGAAGTTGCTAATCATGACATCGCCTCTGTCTTCTCCAATAATGATCATCACACAGTATTAACCACGTCAGGAATCCTTTCCTACCTCTGGTACATCCGTTAAGTGAGTCATGTTCCAGCCTGATTTGTGCACAATCTTAAAGTCGTAATTTGAAGGCGATGCAAGCCAACGTCATCAAATATAAAGCCTCTTCATCGAGCTCATCACGTACGTAAGGGAATTATTTTCAGTCCATACTTCGAATGCATTTTCTGTTTTTATTAAGTCATGGAATTTGTTATATAAGGGTTCCGAACTTACTGATACTATCTATTACTGTACCTCTACCCTCAACTGAAATATTTTATATGCTACGACTTGCTCATGACCTTCCTGCAATTGCTATGTGACTGCCCTACCCATCAAGAGATGCACGTGGTTTTTTTGCAAGAAATGGCTTCGGGAAATTCGCATTTGCCAGCACTGGTCCTATCGGGTCTTCTGCCAATTCCACAGCTCATTAAAGTCTTTGCTTCAAGCCGTAGGATGACCATCCAGTAAGTCGTTGAGACGTTTAACAATCGTGATATAGTCCTTTATATTAACACAACATCTTCAGTAAGGACTCGGGGGTTATCTAATACTTCTACCATCTAACATATTACCGCAATTCTTCAAAGATAGAAATGGGAATTTCGGCAATACAAATCCTTAAAGGAAATGACGTCCATTAAGGAGATCTCATTTCAATAACAGTTGCTTGGTCGAGGTTATTCGTTATTCCTACTTACTATTACCCGAGTCGCTCGCTGTACTTGTTCATCGAAGGGTCGGCCCCTGTTTATCCAAGCTCATCAAACCATTGAGCATCTTCCTTCCTGCTGTCCAACGCTCCTACTGGTTCCACATGCATGCCACCTTTTTCCTAACTAAGGAAACAGAGAGTAGACTTGTATCAGGATAGTCAGATCTGTCAGGTTGAACACGCGCACAGGTTCCCTTATCGCAATCCGGAGGAGTCTTAAAGATGTGCGAAAGTCAATGGGTCACAGACACTCGCTTATCTATATAACCAGGTAGTAATTCAAGTGTAGCCAAATTTACTTACTGATCTACTTGCTATCTCGTACAATGTTACACCTAAGTGTTACATAAACTACATTGGTCATTTGTCTGATAAAGTGGACAGAGTACATGTCGTACGTCACACACTAACCAATAGAATTCACTGTGCTATAAGAACGTGTCTGATTGTTCAGTTTGAAACTACACGTCGTTAGCTTTATTTTGGTTCCAAGTTAAATAAATATTTCGGCATCAAACAGTTCACAATATTCATATTTGAAATGTTAAGGTTGTTTGTTGTCTCTTTCTTTTGATTTGTAAGAACAAAAAAAGTAATTTTTGACTTAGCTGAAGACGTTTTCAATAATGAATCATCATTTTGATTGTACCTAAGGCTTTTAGAACTTTTCCATGATTACAGAGGTGTGGAAATGTTGGAGCTTGGTTATGTATTTACCTTATCACTTATAAGTGCCACTCTGCAAAATATCCTCCATCCCGCCATCTACATGGGGTATATAGACAGCCTGACTTGAAAACATAGTAATGCTATGAAATTCTTCTAGTGGAATACCTAGGGATGATTAAAATAATGATAATGATTAATAATTCGAGGTTGTTATATACCGTTTTATCACAACCTAGTTCGTAGGTCGTCTCAAAGCGGTTCACAAATTATTATCCGTGGTTATAGGGCCTTTGCAATCAGCCAATATCTTTCTCAACTCCATTGGGAGCACACAGCCGGTGCTGCTATTTAGGCGCTCACAGCTAGCATTCAACAATTCTAGCACTGCCCAACCACGTACTCATTTACAGCTGAGCAGACTGGAACAAGTGGAGTAAAGTATCTTGCTCAAAGATACAACACAGAGCCGTGCCGTGACTCGAACAAGCAACCCTTCGGTCATGAGCCCGGCGTCCTACCACTAGACTACCGTGCCTCCAATACACACTTTTTATTTTTTATTTTACACACTATTATTTTTGCATTTAAGATAAAAAATATAAAAATCTTGTTTTAGTTATGATATTTAATCCAATATTAATAAACGAACTATATGATAATCTGAAATTAACTGATATCATGATCTTTGTCTCTACGTTTTGTAAATCTAAGGTTCTGTAATATAAAATTTAGTTTGTTTTCGCTCACAGATTCTGAAGGTTAAGACCTCGGGCGGAAAGTTCACGGAAGCTGTGGAGGTGTACACTGATTCCGGATCTGAACTGAGCGCCTCTTCAGTGGCCTCCATCTACAAGGGAAAAATGATAGCTGGCACTATTGCGTCACAGCTGATTGTATGTGATGTCGTCTACATTGATTGATTTTGATAAGAGAGGAAACAATGATTTACTTCCCGCCAAATTTACTTAATGTAAAACCCATGTGACATTTGGATAACATACAGTATTGTAATCTGATACATAGTTTTGCAAATATATATAATTCGACATAAAAATGTTAATACTCCGTTCAGGTGAAATTTACATCGGATGTTTTCAATCTTTACATTAACACAATTTCCATATGATCAGATTTTCATTCGTATAATGGTATAATGATAAGTTTTTCTTGTGTTTAATTAAGGGTCAATTTGTTATTTTTAAATATGAAATGACCAGATTGTGTTTTATTTAATAATAAAATGAATGGATCGTTCTGTGTCATCTGAATTGCTTTTGTTATATTATATATGTTTTTTATTAAAACATTGCTAGCTGGTCACGTGTCCAATTGCTAATTGACCGGATTATCATATATATTGCGAAATTTGGTTTTGCGTGCAGGGAGGGAAAGAGACTCGCATACTATCACTCCAAATGTAGATATGAACATCAGTACACCTTTACATATACACGAGTAATATAGATATGAAAATCAGTAAACCTTTACATATACACGAGTAATATAGATATGAACATCAGTACACCTTTACATATACACGGGTAATATAGATATGGATATTAGTACACCTTTACATATACACAAGTAATATAGATATGAACATCAGTACACCTTTACATATACACGAGTAATATAGATATAAACACCAGTGCACCTTTACATATACACGAGTAATATAGATATGAACATCAGTACACCTTTACATATTACTCGTGTATATGTAAAGGTGTACTGGTGTTCATGTCTATATTACTCGTGTATACGTAAAGGTGTACTGGTGTTTATATCTATATTACTCGTGTATACGTAAAGGTGTACTGGTGTTCATGTCTATATTACTCGTGTATACGTAAAGGTGTACTGGTGTTCATATCTATATTACTCGTGTACATGTAAATGTGCACTGGTGTTCATATCTATATTACTCATGTATATGTAACCGTGTACTGGTGTTCATATCTATATTTCTCGTGTATATGTAAAGGTGTACTAATATCCATATCTATATTACCCGTGTATGTGTAAAGGTGTACTGATGTTAATATCTATATTACTCGTGTGTATGTAAAGGTGTACTGATGTCCATATCTGTATTACTCGTGTACATGTAAAGGTGCACTGGTGTTCATATCTAGATTACTCGTGTATATGTAAAGGTTTACTGATGTCCATATCTATATTACATGTACACGAGTAATACAGATATGGACATCAGTACACCTTTACACATACACGGGTAATATAGATATGGATATTAGTACACCTTTATATATACACGAGTAATATAGACATGAACACCAGTACACCTTTACATATACATGAGTAATATAGATATGAACCTCAGTACACCTTTACATATACACGAGTAATATAGATATGAACACCAGTACACCTTTACATATACACGAGTAATATAGATATGAACACCAGTGCACCTTTACATGTACACGAGTAATATAGATATGGACATCAGTACACCTTTACATATTACTCGTGTATATGTAAAGGTGTACTGAGGTTCATATCTATATTAGTCATGTATATGTAAAGGTGTGCTGATGTTCATATCTATATTACTCGTGTACACCTTTACATATACACGAGTAATATAGATATGAACATCAGCACACCTTTACATATACATGAGTAATATAGATATGAACCTCAGTACACCTTTACATATACACGAGTAATATAGATATGAACATCAGTACACCTTTACATATACACGAATAATATAGATATGAACATCAGTACACCTTTACACATACACAAGTAATATAGATATGGACATCAGTACACCTTTATATATACACGAGTAATATAGATATGAGCATCGGTACACCTTTACATATACACGAGTAATATAGATATGAACATCAGTACACCTTTACATATACACGAGCAATATAGATATGAACATCAGTACACCTTTACATATACACGAATAATATAGATATGAACATCATTACACCTTTACATATACACGAGTAATACAGATATGGACATCAGTACACCTTTACATATACACGAGCAATATAGATATGAACATCAGTACACCTTTACATATACACGAGTAATATATATATGAACAGCGGTACACCTTTACATATACACGAGTAATATAGATGTGAACATCAGTACACCTTTACATATACACGAGTAATATAGATATGAAAATCAGTAAACCTTTACATATACACGAGTAATATAGATATGAACATCAGTACACCTTTGCATATACACTCCAAATATAGATATGAACACCAGTACACCTTTACATATACATGAGTAATATACATATGAACATCAGTACACCTTTACATATTCACGAGTAATATATATATGAACATCAGTACACCTTTACATATACACGAGTAATATAGATATGAACATCAGTATACCTTTACATATACACGAGAAATATAGATATGAACATCAATAGGGCACAGTTAACACAATAGTAGACCAGAATGATGACCCTACTGAGTCAGTATAGGGTACAGTTAACACAATAGTAGTCCAGAATGATGACACCACCGATTCAGAAAAGGTTACAGTTAACACAATAGTAGTCCAGAATGATTACACCACCGAGTCAGTATAGGGTACAGGTAACACAATAGTAGTCCAGAATGATGACAGCACCGATTCAGAAAAGGTTACAGTTAACACGATAGTAGTCCAGAATGAGTACACCACCGATTCAGAAAAGGTTTCAGTTAACACAATAGTCGTCCAGAATGATGACAGCACCGATTCAGAAAAGGTTACAGTTAACACAATAGTACTCCAGAATGAAGACTCTACTAAGTCATTATAGGGTACAGATAACACAATATTATACCAGAATGGAGACTCCACTGAGTCAGTATATGGTACATTTAACACAATAGTAGTCCAGAATGATGACACATTGAGTCAGAATAGGATACAGTTAACACATTAGTAGTCCAGAATGATGACACCACTGAGTCAGTATAGAGTACAGTTTACACAATAGTACTCCAGAATGAAGACTCTACTGAGTCATTATAGGGTACAGATAACACAATAGTAGTCCAGAATGATGACACCACTGAGTCAGTATAGAGTACAGTTAACACAATAGTACTCCAGAATGAAGACTCTACTGAGTCATTATAGGGTACAGTTAACACAATAGTAGACCGGAATGAAGACCCCACCGAGTCAGTATAGGGTACAGTTAACACAATAGTAGACCAGAATGATGACACCACCGAGTCAGTATAGGGTGCAGTTAACACAATAGTACTACAGAATGAAGACTCTACTGAGTCATTATAGGGTACAGTTAACACAAAAGTAGACCAGAATGATGACCCCACTGAGTTAGTATAGGGACACATTGAGTCAGAATAGGATACAGTTAACACAATAGAATTCCAGAATGATGACACCACCGAGTCAGGATAGGGTACAGTTAACACGATAGTAGTCCAGAATGAAGACACCACTGAGTCGGTATAGGGTACAGTTAACGCAATAGTAGACCGGAATGAAAACCCCACCGAGTCAGTATAGGGTGCAGTTAACACAATAGTACTCCAGAATGAAGACTCAACTGAGTCATTATAGGGTACAGTTAACATAATAGTAGACCAGAATGATGACACCACCGAGTCAGGATAGGGTACAGTTAACACAACAGTAGTCCAGAATGATGCCACCACTGAGTCAGTATAGAGTACAGTTTACACAATAGTAGACCAGAATGGTGACACCACTGAGTCAGAATATGGTACATTTAACACAATAGTAGTCCAGAATAATGACACATTGAGTCAGAATAGGATACAGTTAACACAATAGTAGTCCAGAATGATGACACCACTGAGTCAGAATAGGGTACAGTTAACACAATAGTAGTCCAGAATGATGACCCCACTGAGTCAGTATAGAGTACAGTTAACACAATAGTAGTCCAGAATGAAGACTCTACTGAGTCATTATAGGGTACAGTTAACACAATAGTAGACCGGAATGAAGACACCACCGAGTCAGTATAGGGTACAGTTAACACAATAGTAG